TTCCCAGCCTTATTGTCTTTCCCCCACACATAAATACACAGATTTACTCTTTCTGACACCCCATTCTGTCCTTGCACAAGCCTTCCTGCTTTCTTTCTCAATTCCTGCCTCTCTCTCTCTCTGTGTGTGTGTGTGCTCAGTTCCTGCCTCTGTGTGTGTGTGTGTGTGTGTGTTTCTCTCTTAACCACCCCATTCCTTCTCTTCCTCCCACCTCCCCTTCCATACTTCCTTCTTCTACTTTTTCTCCTCACTCCTCCTCGCCTGACACCCTCTCCTCCCTTTTCCCTCCCTCCACCACCACCACCTTCTGTGGTGAAACAGGAACCCCACATCCATGGGCCTGAGAGAGCCGCCCTGTTCCCATGGCCGCCCTAAGCATCATCCTCCCCTCCTCTCATCTCCTCATGCTCCTTGATTAGGTCCCCCACCCCACCCGCCCGCTCCATGGGATTTTTGCCAGCCTCACAGCCTTGCCCTTTCCTTGGCCCTCCGGGCACTTCATAAACGTTAACTTCCCTGACAATAAACTTGTGCAAGAAAAGGGTAAGATGGGAAATAAATTCCCATTAATTCAAGACCCTCGGCCTGACAGGAGAGGCATAAAGTTATCAAAGTGAATGATACACACACACACACACACACACACACACACACACACACACACTTCTTGAGGTTCTTCCACCTGCCAGGCACAGAGTTACCTTTCCTCCTACACCTTTCCCATGAATTTATGGATAGGAAAAGCTTACGCACATCAAGGCACACCTAATCTCTTCTTTGATGGCTTGGTGGGTGCCAGGCATCAGAAACAGCAGCTCCATCTCCCTCCTACCACATTTCCCATGGTGCTCTGGAGGAGGAGTGTGGGCCTTTGAGTGACAGCCCTCACTTCTTGCAAATGGGTGGATAATCAGCCAGGGGTGCCTGTTTTCAGACCCAACTGGTCGCCGTTGGTTGAAAGATGTCTCTTTCCTGTAGAGGAGACCTTCCCCTCCTAGGCTCAGGGCTAACAGGGAACCTTTTCAGTTCCCGAACCTATGCCATGATCCGCCACCCCTCTCAAGCCTCTGAGCATGGCTGCAGTACTCAGAGTAGCTGGGAGAGACGCGGGTTGTTCCAGGAAGATTAGTGAGTGTTACAAAGCTACCCTCCCTGTGGTGCAAAGGGTTTGAAGGTGCTTTGGTCTTGAATAGGCAATTAAGAGCCATTAGCTTTACAAAGGACCTGCCCTCCCTGGTTCTGATATGGCTCGATCCAGCTCCCTGTACTTTGGGCTTTCCTTATAAGGGAAAGAGAGGGGTATGGGGAGTGTTATGTTGACCACCCTATTTAGCACCACACCACTGTTAAAACTGATGGAGCAAACAAAGAAAGATCACTGTGGCTGAATTTTAGTCAGATCTGCCTGTCTTCACATGGTGAGAAAGGGCCTTGAAGAGTTCCCGGTCCTCATGAAAGAGACTGAGATGCGTGCTTTCAGTTTGTGCAAAATGTGCAATAGTTTGGATTCTATACAAAGGTAGACTTGTTTCCCTTTGCAGTGTTAAATGCACACACAGAGAAAGAACAAGCACAAGAGGACGAGGCTTGGTCACAAAAACACCGCAAAAAATAATAATAATCCACCCAGTGCTCCTGTTTTTAGCAATCCAGACAACGAGGCATCCATTATCCTGATCTGCAATATATTCTGGGGCATACAGTGTTCGGCAGTTTGGGTAGCGCCTATGAAGTTCGGACTAAAATCCAGAGTGAATTGCCTTCTTCTGTAATACTGGAGTCAGCAACATCCATTGGACCAGAATGCTGGCATTTAATACAAGTCATCTTAAAAACCACCAGCCTCTAAGTTAGCAAAAGAGGAAAAGTTATATATCTGAGAGGCCTTGTGTGTCAACCACCTCTCTCTCTCTCTCTCTCTCTCTCTCTCTCTCTCTAGTTGAGATGAAACAAAGAGAAGTTAAATCAAAAGCTACGAGTGGAAAAATTTTTTGTAGCACTCGTTTTCCAGCCAGGACAGTCAAGATACCCTTACAAATGCAAATACTTTGGGTGGATATGACAAGGAAATATTGAATTGCCCAGCTCCTACAAACAGCCAATAAATCCACCCCAGGGTGGTTTACGTCTTCCTCTCTTGATTCCCCAGGTAGAAAATGACCCCAAATGTTTATGGATCTGTTGTCCAGAAAAACAGGGTCCGATTCAGATTATGGGAAACAGAGGCAAAATGAACTTCTGCACACATAGAGAAATTCCACTATTTATTTTCTTAGACCTCCCATTCTTCCTTAACAGCTCTCCCTATGTAGGAATGCCAAGTGGTTCCCACCACTAAACCAACTGACCAGGTCCATTTAGTTGCAGCTCAGTGACTACGTTCGTGTGCCTTCAGATTATGTTCAGGAACCATTCATCACAAGCTTCCAGTGTGTGGATAACAGGCCAAAATATACATCATAGAAAATCCATCATTAGAGGAGAGAATTTCTCAAGTGCTGGAAACATCTGATTATTGCAGCAGGAGCATTTGATTTTCATGCCTCTCGAAAACTGCACATGAATTTGCTTTGCTTTGTGATTGGTCATTGGGAGGCATACAAGGGCTTCATTAGCATAGGCTTGCTTAGTCACAAAGTTCTTAAAATCATAGAATAATTGAGTTGGAAGGAGTCCAACCCTTTCTCAATGTAAGAATCCAAACCAAAGCAGATCTGACAGATGGTTGTCCAATTTTCTCTTGAATGCCTCCAGTGGGCTCACCACCTCCTGAGGTAACTGGTTTAAACGACGAAATTGCTTGACGAAGTTTTTGCGATCGCACAACCATGTTCCTATGGGGGAAATTTGCTTAACGATGATCGGTTCCCTTCAGGAACTGATTTTTCACTAAACAATGTTTCTGAAACAGCTAATCGGTGGTTCTAAAATGGCCGGCCACTGTGCAAAATGGTTCCTCGCTGTGTTTTCAGGATGGATTCCCCTGCTTTACATGCAGCGAAAATGGCCACCCCTATGGAGGATCTTCGCTGGACCGTGAGTTTTCAGCTCATTGGAACGCATTGAACCAGTTTCAATGCATTTCAATGGGCTTTTTCGTTTCACAAGATGATGTTTTCGTAAGACAACGATTTTCGTGGAACGAATTAACATCGTCTTGCGAGGCACCACTGTAGTTAAGACATTTTTTTCCTGCTATTCATCCTAAATCAGGCTTCTTGTAGCTTGAGATCTTTGTTAGCGTCCTGCACTCTGGGATTTTCAAGAACGGATCCTGCCCCTCTTATGTTGTATTTGAAAAGTGCTATCAGATCTTCCCCCAGTCTTCTTTTCTCAAGGCTAAACATGCCCAATTCTTTCAGATTTTTCCTTCTCGGGTTCAGTTTCCAGTCCCCTGATCATCCTTGTTGCCCTCCTCTGAACTTGCTCCGGTTCTTCCTGAATCACGTCTTTAGAACACTAACATATTTCAGCTTCTAATGATGACAACTGTGAAGTAAAGAGTGGCTCAAAGAACATCCCTGTGGCTTGGTTGGTAAATTCTAGATGAATGGTGGGATCACGGGCCACAAGAAATGCCACTCATCACACCAAAACCCTCTGTGGTAACTCCACTCAACGTTTCTCAGAGGTCCAACCTCTCAAAATACCTCTCACATCTGCTCTGAATGTTGTTTTCGGTGGAAATCTGGCAGTGATAGTCATGCAGAAAATCAGTCTGAACCCTGAGACCTATTTGAAGAAGTCGGTGGTTCCTTCTCAGGGCTTTCTCCCTCTTCCTCCTTGAGTCTGGCCTACCTCCAGGAGTCCTCGTAGGACAAAACGAGGCATAGGACATCCGCAGACACTTCCTGAGCTGCGGAAACATAGCGAATAAAAGAGATAATCGTCCATGCCAAGGTAGCTTTCGAGGACATGGTGCAAGGCATTTTACCTGGAATCTTTTCCCACCTACTGAACTTCGAGATATGGCCACAAGTCCCTCTCCCCAATAGAGGAGAAAAAGGATAGGGCTCCTCTCCCACCCACCCCCAAAAAAGGAAAAGGAAGTTTGTTTGCTTGCTTCTTTATTTTTAAAGAAGGGGAAGACATTTGGGAGGTTTATATTCCTAATATTCCCTGTTAGAATTTGGGACCTTCTGAATTTGACCGCCTTGGGGCAAAACCCATTAGCCTCAACTTTGGTTACAGGCCAAGCGATGCAAATACAGCCGCTCCCGTTGCTTCCAATTAAACAACACAGAAGTCGCACCACTGATTCTATTTATTTATTTATTTA